ATGCTAAATTTTATGTTCTGCACATTTTATCATAATGAAAACATTTATTATCTACACAGTGGTCAGCACGTTCCTGGCCGCCTGCAGGTTGAGCTCAGTGACGGTAACTTGCTTTCTTGGGCCTGGCTTACCCTCTACTTTTTCAGCCTCACTCTGTCAGGCTTTTTTCATGAGTTTGTGTGTCTTGACGCCCTTCTTTCCATCCCAAGTCTGTCCTAATCACACCTAGCTCTCTTGGTGACACTGCCGGTTGTGACATGCACTCCTCAAGTCACAGCCCACCCCCCAGGACGAGGCCCCCTCTTCCCTGGAACCAGAGAAGAGACAGCACACGGAGCTCTTCCTTTCCTCACCATCTTGCCTCTTGGTTTCTCTAAGGCTGCCCCACTAGGCAGTAGGGGTGGATAACATCAGAGTAAAATTATTGTAGAGGAGAGGAAAAGCTAAAAATCATGACAACTTAAGCTTTCTTGGAGTCTCCAGTGGAAAGAGCCCCCAATTGGCCGAGATGTAATGGCTCACTCCTATAATCCGAGCACTTTGGAGGCCAAGGTATGAGGATTGCTTGAGGCCAAGAGTTTGAGATTAAGCCCAGGCAACATAGCAAGACCCCTATGTCTACTAAAAAAAAGGAAAAGAACCCCAAACTGAGGTCCTCCTGCAGAAAAAGATTGACCACGTGTGGCCTGTCTCGACCGTACGCCACTGTATACATTATATCTCAGCCTTTAGCTCTCAAATCACCTCCTCTAAGGGCTTCCTCCTCCAAGTCTCTGCCTCTCTACCCACTGCTCTCTGGCCTTTGTGTTCTGGGGCCTCCAGTTGGAGTCATGCCCTCTGGAGTAGTGTGCCAGTGGTAAGTGCTATCTGCTGCCACCCGAGTCTCACAGAACAGCTGCAGTCCCCTGGACAGGAGTACACCTGAATCCTCTAGTCTGATTTCTTTTACCATAATCCTCAGTGAGAGCTGTGGGCGGTGGTTCCTTGAATGAGATGACCTGTTAGATTAAGACCTGGCTCATCCCTCAACGACAAACATTACCTTTCAAGTTCAGTACAGTCTAAATACGTATAGAGAAAGAAACTATTCCCCAAATAACAGTGCATCTCAACCCTATTCCAGAATCTTGAACCCAGAGCAACTTTACAGCCAGCTTCCTGCTCCTATGCAAGACCTTCCTGGATAATAAAGGTCACTACTAGTGGCCCCAGCCCAGGAAAGGTTCCAAAATCACATTTTTTATTTATTTCTGAAGACTCCCTAGGATGAGATGCAGTTTCCAGTTTTTTCTTAACACTGTTATTATTATCACAAATCATAAGAAAAGGAAAGTTTATTTAATAAGCAGTATTGACATGATTGGGCAATTATTTGGGGAGAAAATACCTAGACCCTTGCCTTATACCTACCACTCTAAACCCATTCCAAATGGATGAAAGATTTGAGTTTTATAAGAAAGAGAGAAAACGTATGCACTAAAAGATGGATAAGTTCCCACGCTCCCCAAAGGCATGCAACTGGCAGATAGAGCCTCTACCTACTTGCCCACTGAACTACCTCAAATATGCACACACAGAAAAGACGAAAACGGTTAATATCAACAAAAGAAGAAGGCTGATGATGCAGATGCCAAAATGTAATAGAAATCGAATCTGATTTTATGGCAGGTACAGCTGAACTAGTGTGGGTCGCTCTTACCTTCAGCTCATGACAGGGAGACCTGCTGATAAACTGGTCCAAAGAAACTTTGGTTATTTCTCACCACCTGTCTCTTAGCGAGAGACCCCAGGACTCGGAAAACAGGGCAACTGGCTCTCTAGAGCAGTGAGAACTTGAGAAATACACCAGTCCCCAGGTAGCACCCCAGACTAATTAAATCTGAATGTGCAGGGGTGGTGGTATTTTCAATGGGTAGCCAGACTGATAAGCAGGCTTCTGCAAAAACCACTCAGATGTGATCCTGTAAGTGTTGCAACCCCTACGGCCCTGGCCTCTGTCGCGGCACGAAGGAACCAGGTGTGACAGGGATTAGAAGTACAAGCTTGCGGGAGGCGGGCTAACCTTAAGTGCAGGGTAGGCCAGAGCCTCCTCCATAATGGCGATTATACACAACTGTGGAGAGTTAAGGTAATGACATACACAGCAGATGTGGAGAGTTAAGGTAATTACATGCCAGGGCTGCATGTGTAAGGATTGCCATGTGCTCTTTTCCCATGAAGAAGCACCAAGCATCAATGTTTAAAACACAGTTACTAATAAGCGACTGATCTTATCTCATTCCGGAACACTGAGTTACTTGGGGGCTTGCCCTTAAGTCACAAAACATCTCTAGGCTTGCCAGGAGACTGTCCTGTTCTCAGCGTTTCCTTTTAATGTGATAAGAATCAGTAACTGTCCTTGTAAGCATGGTGTCCATTCCTCTACATATAAGGGAGGTGGGGGAGATGAGATTCTGTCCTCCCCATTCTGGCCACCTGGCATCCTTCCTTCCTTTCTGGGATGCCTCTCTTTGTGTTTTTTTTTTTTTTTTTTTCCTCCTATCATTTTGACTGTAATTTTTCATTTTTCAACACTACCTATTCAACTACTTTCTGGCCCTTAAATATTGATCTTCCCAGAGCTTGGTCTTTTGAGATTCTCTTTTGAATTGAAAATTCCATCCAGTTGTAAGACATGAGCTGAAGCCTTCCATTCCCAGGAGATGGGGTCGGCATGTCCTCCAGCATAACTGGACTCCAAGAGCGCATACCCACTACAGTGGAGAAGCCCTTGCCGACTCAAGCCAGAATAACTGGGGAGGTCTTGATGAGGTAGGGAAAAGAAAATGACTTAAAAAAAGAAAGAAAGTAATAGCGCAAGGGTCATGTCAAGGAGTAGTCTTACAGAAGCTGCACCCAGCCTCCATTTACCCCTGTGTTCCCCAACAGTGAAGCAGAGGCCAAGAGGAAGGAGTTAGACCCAGGACAGGCAAAGAGAAGAGGAACAGTAGGAGAATAAAGAGGAGGTCTCTCTACTGCCCATTGCTCATAGAAAAGGAAAGAGAAAGAGCCATTTGGGGCTATCTCTCAATTCTATATATTTCTGATTATCTAATGGTCAAACTTCTCCAGTGATGAACTGTATCATTTCCACAAATAATGACATCTGCATTCCCAGCTCACATCTCCCTAGCAAGCTTCTCTCTCCCTCCTCAAAAAAACTCAAAGGCCATAGGCACCTCGGGGATGAATGAATTTGATTCGGAATATCGAAAGCAAATCCAGCCTCCTCTTTCTCCCTTTAATCTACTCCTCTCTGTGCACACCTCCGTGAATGGACCTGTCATTCCTCCACCTGGTCTGGGTTCAGTTGTGTCCGTGCTCACCCCAAGTTTACATGTTGAAGCCCCAATCCCCGTGCCACAGAATGTGAACTTAATTTGGATGTAGAGTCATTGCAGATGTAATTAGTAAAATTGAGATGAGGTCACTAGATTGGGCTGTGATCTAATATAAATGGTGTCCTCATAAAAATTAGAAATTTGGACACAGAGAGAGAACATTATGTGAAGATGAAGGCAGAGATCTGGTGATTTTTTTACAACCCAAGGAATACCAAAGGTTGCCAGAAAACCACCAGAAGCTAGGTGCAAGGCATGGAACAGATATTCTCTGTTAGCCCCCAGAAGGAACCAAGCCTGCTGACACCTTGACCTTGGACTTCTAACCTCCAGAGCTGTGAGACAATCAATGTTGTTAGAGACACCCAGTCTGTGGCCTTTGTTATGGCAGCCTAGCAAACTCTAACACTGCCCAGTAAAGGTCTTTGCTCCATATCCCCTTCCCCTCCAACATCCAGTAACTGGCTCCTGTCTGCTTAACCTCCAGAACTTTCCTAGTTCCACTTTTCCTCCACTCAGCGTCCACTGCCTCTGTAAGCACGGTGCTAGAAGACAGGAAAAGACTTAGCTGGCCAACTGGAGCAAGGATAGGTCAAAGCTGGCACAGTGGAGAGGTCTGGCACTTGAAAGGGATTTGGAAAAGATGGGGCTGGCAGGCAGAGGGTGAGGTGTGCCTAGCTGTAGGTGAGATCAACACCACTTTACCACTTGGCTGGGAAATGCTGAGACTCTAGAGGCTGCATCAAAATGTCAAAGGGGTGGGGTTAGCTAGAGGCCAGAGCTCCCTGGGGCTCTGTCCCCACAGCCCACTTTGGGCTGGGCTTGCACTTGGGGTGTGCATTGAGTGCTGAGCAGAGATCTTGGGAAGACCTTTGCTACTGACTGGGTTGCCCCAGGGCATGACAGGGGGTGGGGTGTACCTCAGGGCACCAGCTTCCTGAGGCTGCTGAGCATGTTGCTCTGAGCAACTGCAAACTGAACCGGCAGGTTTGCCCCAGTGCCACGTTCCAGTCCAAGATGTGTGAGCTGAGCAGCACTTGGCCTTCCCAGCCCCAGTTCTAGCTCTGCCGGGAAAGGGGAGACTTCACCATGGCTCTTGGAAATGGATTCTAGACATTAGGATCAAGCCCTGAAAGGACCTGGAATAAACACATCCTTGGGCTCCCAGAAGGACTCTGAGCAGCCGTGCCTGCCTTTCTCATCAGCCAGCCTGTCCCTTCCCCCAGTCTTCCCTTCCCCATCTCCCCTTGCATTCCCCTTCCCCCACACTCTCTCCTCTCACCCTGGTCACCCCTCCCCGCTCCCACCTCCTCCCTCCAGTCTCTCCCCCCACCCCCCACCCCAGTGAACCCTCTCTCACCCTGGTTACCTCCCTCCCCTCTCCTACCTCTCCCTCCCCTCCCCCCTCACCGTGAACCACCCCCCACCTCCCACCTGGCTTCTCTCACTTCCTTGTCTCCCCGCTTTCTCCTCTCCTCTTTCTCCCTGGCCTTGTCTCTCCCCTCCCTCCTCACGGGGGCTCCCCCTTTCCACCCTCCTTTCTTCTGCCACCTCCCGCCGCTACCCTGCCCCGCCTGCCCTCCAGCCTGCCCGCGGTATTTGCTTTCCTCCCGGATCCGGATGAAAGGCTTGTCCTGCCCCTGCCCTGCCCTGCCCGACTTCGGGCAGCTGGGGTCTCGCTTCATGGCTGAGGGCTCCAGGACGCAGGCCCCAGGGCAAGGGCCCCCTGTCAGTATCCAGCTCCTGCGAGCCCAGTATGAAGGCCTGAGGAGGCAGCAGAGGGCCCAGGCCCACCTCGTGCTGCTCCCGAAAGGTAGGGCTGGGCAGAAGGGGGGCAGGTGGAGGAGGAACAGGCACCTGAGCTCAGGAGTCCTGTCCAGCGCAGCTCTCCCAGCCGCACCTCCTGCCAAGCAAGCCAGGGCCTCAGCCAGGCCTCTGGCTGCCAACACTACCCCTGGCCTCTGCTCCGTGCCCCACTCTTGCCAGACGAGTCAGGCTGGCCCCCCTGTGAGGCCGAGTGGGGTGCCAGGAGCTCTGCCCCAAACCAGAGAAACTGGCTCTGGAGAAAGAGGACGTGGCATTGCCAACGCCAATGCCTGGGGTCTGGCTGGGTCAGAAAAAGCCCAGAGCTGGAGGACCCATGAGCCACCACAGGCTCATTTAGCCTCCAACAGTAGCCACAAAGCTGAGCTGTGAGCAGACTCAGAAGCCCCCTCCCCACAGGGAGAAGCCCCTCCCTTTGGGAACTCAGATTTCATTGGTGGGGGTGAGCACCTGGCTCAGAGAGAAGTGGGTGTTAAATTCCAGCCCAACAGGTCAAGGGAGGAGGGAAGAGGCCCAGAGAGGTCAAGGTTGGGCCCTGAGAGTTTCCATGGTTCTGCGCAGCTCAGTGGACTCACTGCGTGGGCTTCCTTGCAGCAGTCCAGGTGAGGAAGGAATCAGCTCCCAGGGGGACCTCACTGTTCAGGGCGGGAAGCCTGCTGCTTTTTGGAGACAAAGGTGGCACCTCTGAGCTGAAGGAGCCCTTCTCTTATTACTGGGGCTGTTGACAGCCAGTGGGATCCATTGGAACTTAACTGGCATAGCCAAATAGCACCCATCTCTGCAAGGCACAACCTGAGAGATTCCTAAAGCTCTGCCCAGCCTCAAGGGTAGTTATTTACTCAGTCACTCAGCAAATACATACTAATGTAAACCTATCAAATGAAAATGCCATATTTAACACACCTGAGAATCAGAGTCACAGACGTGACTTCTTAATGGTCATGATCCAAAGACATCTCAAACCCAGCGTGCCCCACAGGCCTCACCATGCCCTGCGCTGGCCTTTCTCCTGCAGTTGGTAACTCAATACTCCCTTCCTGTCATCGCCATGTGGTAAGTTACAGCAGGCTCAGCATGGCTTTCTCAGGGGAGACTTCTGACACCCTGGCTAGGCAAGCAGGAGCGAATCCATCCGCCTGTGACTGTGTGTGCCCTCACCCCTTGGTCCTCTTTTGCTCTCCAGTGTTAGCAACCCCTCCCCCCCGAGTTCATTCCCTCACTCGTGTTTTTTGTTGTTGTTCCTTATCCATGCTATCACTCCGGTTTTTGATCCTCTATCATGCGGGAGTGTTTCTGTTTGATAGGTGTGAGTTAGTATGTGTTTGCTGAGTGACTGAGTAAATAACTCTCCTCTAGAGCATTGGCTACTGCCTGAAATTTTATTATACTCAGTTTTTTATTGCCTTTCTATTCCCACTGTGACACATCCATGAAAGGTAGGTTGTGTCTCAGTGAGCACTGCTGCATTCCTGGGACTTAGAATAAATATTAATAGGCTGGCCACAGTAGAGTGCTTGAGCTCAGGAGTTTGAGGGCAGCCTGAGCAAGAGCAAGACTCTATCTCTAAAAATAGCTGGGTATTGTGCTGCACCTGTAGTCCAGCTACTCAGGAGGCTGAGGAAAAGGATCGATTAAGCCCAAGTTTGAGGTTGCTGTGAGCTGTGACTCCACGGCACTCTACCGAGGGTGACTGAAAAATAGATGGCCAGGCACAGTGGCTCACACCTGT